GGAACGGACGGGGGAGGGGGCGGGTACAGCTGGCTCTGCCTCTAGATAGGCAGAGCCAGCTGTCACTCACGCAGCTGGGCAGTTCCAGACATAATTGTCGGGATCCTTTCCGGCTGCGGCGTCTCAGTATACCGGGAGCTGCAGCTCGCGGTATACTGAGCCTAGGGTGACGGGAGGACGCTAGTTTGTGTCCCCCCGTTACCCTTAGGAGAACTATGGGGAAAAGCACTAACCCCATAGTTCTCCTTTAATGATGCTTATTGAATGAACACAATCCTCAAATTTCAGTTCCAAGTCTTTCCATTGGGCCAGACCACTAAAAAAGGGGCTAAGAAAAATCTGGAATCAACCATCTTGGCTCCTTCAACAAAACATCTAAAAGGTAAGATTTTTTTTTTTACTAAGGCTGAGGATGATGATGAAAGAGTCGTGATAAATACATTTTTCAGGTTTAAAAAACCTGAGATTAACACCCCCCCTCCCCCCCCAAAAAAAATCAGCTTTAATATTACTTTACCATAAATAATGCACCATACATTTTTTGTCTCTGGCAATAGGAGATATAAAATGATAAAAAATACACTGCCATTTATTAACGACAGGTCTCGGCGTACTCACAGACCAGCAACTGCTGCGTGTACGGCCGTATCGGGCAGCTCCCGGGAAGGACAGGTGCTGCGTGTGATTAGTACGCAGCCCCTGTCCTTCTCTATGGGACTATGCGGCCGTGCGCCGCCCTACGCTCACCCCAAGTGCAGGTCCGTGCAGGTGTCCCGACTCGGACGCAGACAGGATCCATCCTGTCATCGTACGAGTACGGACACCCGCACCCACACGGAGGTGCAGGGCGGGTGAGCGTAGGGGGGGCGCACGGCCGCGTGCTCCCATAGAGAAGGACAGGGGCTGTGTACTAATCACACGCAGCACCTGTCCTTCCGGGGAGCTGTACGTGCCGGCTGTTTCTCGTGTGAATGAGGCCTAAGTGGGGGAAACCAATAGCAATAAATACATGAAGGAGATTGCAATCCCTCTCACCACTCAATCCAAAACTAAAACTCAGGCTCCGGCTTTAGATGCACTTTAACCACTAATATAAACATTGTTGATTGTTTAAAAATGTCATCAAACAACGTTCGACACACAAGGGACCACCACAATCATTGTTTTCAAATATAAATAAAGACCAATCACCATGGAGCCCAAATAGCCAATAACAAGATTCGATTTACGCAAAAGGGAATGAACTAACGCCATTCGATTTCTGTTCGCAGATGAGCCGCTATTGACATAGTCACATCATACAGACATTCAGCTTTGCAATATTTGTCTAAAATTAATGTTCCTATGCCACCAAGAACATTCAACTGGGCACCATTCCCACAACAGCAACATTCACATTCAACTCAAGAACACTCAATCCTTGCCATATGCACAACTCCCAGCGATTTATACATATATATGCGATATAATCCGCCCAAGTTCTTTCATTGGATGAATCACACAGTGAAATGGGTATAAATAGACCCCATTTGTGCTTATTAGACAGAGAAGCTCTTTCCACCACTATGGCTTATCCACCTTGACCAACATAAGAGGATGGAAGGGTAGAAAGGGCCAGCAGTTGAACTGGATTAGCCTTTTTGGGTATAAGTGTGACATCAAAATTATGGTTTTATTATTAATAATAATAATAATAATAATATAACTCTAACCTATAATATAACTGTGAATGTGTCTTGTAGAACGTACAGAAACATTATCTCTGAGAGGCTAATTTTTAAATGCCCACAGAGCACACAATACTACATAGAAAGGTATCAACCACGAGAACAAATCAAGACGATTGCAACTGACCAAAGATCACAACTACATTGTAATAAATGAACCCCTGAAAAGCATTTGCATCCTATTGAAACAGCACTAACTAAATACCCGAGACAACTTTTGGGAACGGTGTAAAAATACAGTGAAAGTGGACCATCCATTAAATCCCCACACCAGCCTTCTTCAATACACCCTTGTAGTGGGGTGGCCCCCAGCAATGTTTTGGTTAAATGCTCATTTGGTTAGAGGTGAAAGGAAAAAGTACAAATACTATTCCTAGCTACACTGGCAGCCAGTGATTTCCTCCCCTGTCCAGCACTCTGGAATGTGAGCAGGCCCTCGCTGTCCTCCTGTACAATGAAGGATGGCTGGTATTGCGTTGTATATGATGACGTCAGAAAGCTGTTACCAATTGGGCAGAATAGACCGGTTGCACAGAGGAGAGAAAGCTTGCGGGGCCGAGAAATATGGAAAGAATTTGTACTTTTTTCTTACTTTTACTAGCCAAATGAGCATTTAACCCATGCAGTGTTTTTATGTCTGTGGAAGGT